TTCTTATTCTTAATTTTTTTAACGCCTGCTGACACCTAAGGAAGAAGGTGGGGGGAATAATTTTAAGTTAACTTTGGATTACATATAAATCAATGCATTTATTTATTTAATTATTTTTTTTTATAGTTATATAATAATGGCATAAAGAAAAATATTTTATTATATACAAAAATTGAATTATTAATATGGAATATACAAAAGTAAATATATAATGCGAGAAAAAATATATGATGCATAGTCAAAAATAATTATAATTTATTTTTATGTCCAGACGTTTTTTTCAAAATTTAAATTAATTTTCTTTTTCGGGGCGGGTTTAAGATTTCTAAACCCGAATTCGGGTCCAGAACCCTAATTTGGCAGTCTGAAAGATATTTTCCTCTTAATATTATACAAATTAAAAATAAAATGTTAAGATCTCGACCTGGCCATATAGGGGGGGGGGGAAAGGGGATTATCTCCCCACCTTCAGAAATTCATCACTTTTTGTGAATATCATTTAAAGCTAATAAAAAATATCCCCCCTAGTCCTCCCCCCACTAACTGATCCCCCCCCAACGTATGTATATATCTTAAACAATAATTATAATTTGAAAGAAAGAATGTAAAAGTTGAGATTTATTTATAAAACTATTCATCATAATTTATACATTTTTGGAAAAAAGCATTTATTTAAAAAAAGTGAATCAAAAATGCTTTTTAATAAATGGAATATAAGCCAAAGATAAGTCTTAAGACAAAAGTGAAATGTATTATAATTATTAATAATAGATCCATAAAATTACTAAATAATATAATATATCAAATATAATTTTTTATAAAGTGAGTAATTTTAATTTATTTATCTTATAAAAATAAAATATAATTATAAAACTATTGATAAAATTAAATCATAAATTAAATAAAAAAAATTAAAGCACAATACAAACATTGGAATATTTTATGTCGTAGATTTACAGTATATCTAATTTTATCAATTATCATATGACAATCAAGTAATTTTTACCAATATAGCGAATTATATATTTTATAGAAAACTATAAAATATTGATAAGGACATTAGAAAATATCTTTTAAAGACATTGTGGGATAAATAATATGAAGTTTATTTTTATATTCCATTTTATTTAAAATAATTAGATGGCGTTAAATATTTAAATGCAAATTGTTGCTATATTTATAATCAAGAGAAATGATTAGTAAAATTTGTTTAAATATTAACTGTAATATATTCTCTAACTGGTAAATATGTCTGTAAAAGTGGAATTTTACCTAGTACTTTATAACTAATTCTATATAATAGAGGAATATCAACTATATGTCTACTTACTTTTTATAAATAAATTTCTTATACTTGTTTGGAATAAATCATTACCATGCTTTTATATTAATGTATATACAAGTAATTTATTATATTTTATATAAACTAATAAAAATATATTTCATATTTGTTCCAGGCTTATTAACCTCCTATCTTGTAAAAATATTTTATGACTATATATAGACTAAGGTAACCCGGTCGAAGGGCGGGCAAAAGTGGGCCGAAGGCCCATCCCAATGGGGTTTGGGAGTGAAGCCACCAGTAATTTTTTAATTCACCCCCCCCCCCCCCCCCTATTAGGAAAATCCTGGCTACGCCTATGCCTGGCCATTTAGAGCTATGCTCAAAATTTTTTTCACCATCAAATATATGAGTAATCATATTTATTTTATTCCCCCCAGGTCTTATTTATATACACCATGTTAAAGAAGAACTATAATTATTTGATACCCATCCATCCATCATCATATCAATATTTGATACTGATTAAATTATTCCTGACCTAGCTTCGCCAACTGAGAAGTGAAGCCTGGTTTGCTATCTATACAATAGATATAATTAGCTATCGATTGTACGTCATCATATATTTATATACTTTACTAAGGTAAAGAAAAAACAAATTCGGGGTTCGTGCTCAGCTAGTTTAGTCTATTTTTAGACCCAAGCCTCGGATCTGGGTTTTACACAACCAACCAATAAATATCACTTATATAAGTAATCGAATATCCTAAAATTTAAGTTAACCTATTTAGTTCACGACTCTAGTTTAAAACTCGAGTCGCGACTTGAGTTCACGACTCTAGTTTAAAACTCGAGTCGCGACTTGAGTTCACGACTCAAGTTCAGAACTCGAGTCGTAAAAATGAATCGACTCAAAACTCAAGTTTTGAATAGATTTATTGCGACTTCGATTGGTAGTCAGGAGAATTCGACTATTTAACAAGTTAAAATCGTTATAAGGTTGCTCTATTCAAATGGCGATTATGTTGTCCTTTTTAATCGCTGAGCAGTTTATGTTAATATAAATGTATGAAAATTTATATTGCTTACCAGAAGATATCATAAATTATAATCGAATAATTAGCACGATTAATTGCTTTATCATTTTCTATTACGACAAAGACATGTACAATTGAAGGAAGTTTTTGCACAACGAAAAGAGAATAAGTATTTTCTGTCAACAATTCGTGATAAATGGCTTATTAACATTCTTAAGTATCCATCGTAAACGAATCATAGAATGGGTAAATTTTGTTCAGAAACTATTTCTATATTTTCCCAAGTGTCAATAATTTGCAACTAGCATTAGCGTAAATTTATTACATTTTAGCCTTTAATTATATTTCATTTGTAGGATGGCAAGGATTCAAAATATTTGCAAGTTTTATCCATAGTTTTAGATAGAAATCATTAAGTTATATTATTTTATAGAGGCAAAAAATTTGAAACTACGATCATTAAATCACGCTAAATGATAGAATAACATGTAAAATGACCAAAAATGGGCAAATGAACTAAAATTCTGAACTATGCAAAAAATTGTTAACAATCTATGCAAAAAATTGTTAATACTCGCGAATTAAGACAAAATATGCAAAAAGCACTACAAAATTTACCTATGCAAAATTTATTAAGAAACTACGTAAATTACAAATAATGCAAAAACACGAAATGATATATAAACGTATGCAAAGTAACGCGAATATCTAAAAATTGTGCAAAATATGTAAAAACACTCAAAATGATGCAATTAGAGGTATATAAAATAATATCAAATGACTATAACAGGAACGCAAGCTTAAAACACGCAAATTATAGGCAAACTAACTAAATCAATGTAATTGTGAATTATTTTAAAGCATAAAATTCCCTTGTTATTTTACATTATTGAAAAAATATTTTTCTTAGAAAATTTATACCGGGCACCCCTAACTATTGTAGAAAATGACATAGAAATAAGTAGTGATAAAACTATTTGAACACATTTATACTTTTATTAAATACAATTATAAATAGTAAAATACATTATAATAATAAATACTATGAAATTCACAAAAGGCTATTCTTTCAGTCATAATTTTTTTTTATAACTTCCTCCTCTGTGAAATCCAATTTTTAATAATATAACACATTTCGAAATAAAATATATTGCTATATTAGGTTATACTCTATATTTTAATTTGTGAATACCTTTAGTAGGCCTTGAATTTTAGCAATAAGAATAAAAATCTATTAAATTATTTTAGAAAATAATGATATAGGTAAAAAAAAAATTATTTAACCTCTTTATTCGATTTAATAATTCAAAATTGTAGTATTCTATTCAAAAAATTTCCTAATTATTTGTTTGTTAAAAAATCATTTTGATTAATTTTAAATTATTCATGTAAGTAAATATCAAAAAGTGTTCGAACTAATTTTTCAATGTTATATAATTTCATAGAGGGAAAGATCTTATTTGATAACCGACTTCCATAGTATACTTATATAGTTAAACCTCGTTACAATTAATCCCCAATTCAAATTTAGTTAGTTATAGTAAACGTTAACTTACCCGATATGGTTCACTTTATTAACATAACGAATATTCTTTTAAATTCTATTACAAATTTGTAATGTATAATTTAATTAAAAATTATTTCAAGTTATATATTTTGTTGCTAAATCATTAAAAAAAATAAGTTAACTATATAGAAACGTTATGAGATAGAGTTAACAAAATTTATTTAGAATAAGATTATCTATAGCTAATTTTACATCAGATAGGCTCTAATTTTTTGGTCTTTCAAATTATGACAAAAGTTTCTATTTCTTCCTTCATCGATTGCTCTGCTAAAATCTGAATATATATGTTACACATATTAGTATTTATGAGAATATGGGCCCAAAGATTTAATAAATGTTGCGGGATTATTTTAATTTATGAATAAGTGAACGATCGAATTTGTCGACTCAACTGTATACCTAAACATGGGTCATTAAGCTCCACAAACCTAACCTAAATATATATTTTTTAAATAGTTTTCTCTTTAAACTGTGTCCTAAATGAAAAAAATATAAATAAATAAATTTATTAATTTTGAAGAAAAAAATAACAAGCTATTTTTAATGTGCCTTTAATATTTTTTTTAAATATATTTTTTATAGATATGATATGATATGTATAATTAAAATTTTATCTAATCTCCATTTTTAATATTGAATTTAAAAATAAAGATTCAAAAAAATAAATTTATAAATTTGTTCAATTAAATATAAAATATAATTTTTATGCTTGTAAATTAGTATAATAGTTATAATTACTCAAATAAAGAAACAATTGAAATTAGTATCAGTTGATATATAAAATTGAACGTAGATTAGGCTTAGTATTGGTTTTAATAATAGTGTATTTTTTCAATTTTTTTTAATAAAGATTGTTATATTAAAATTAATTAATTTAATTAAATATTTATTTAACAAAATTAGTCTTTAACATCCTAAAATTTAACCTAAAAACATACGAAACTTTATCGAAATACACAAAATGAGTTTTTTCTAGAAAATAAACGTAGCCAATACATATTTTTGTGAAGTTCAAAACTTTAAAATAGGATTTTATATAAGTTTCAAATTTTGTGTAGGTTTTATTTAATACTTGACCATATAATAGAATATAAATTACATTGACGGTTTACGTAACTATTATATAACATTTTTTGCCTTTATGAATTTAACCTTTCCCAATTTGTATCCATCACAGAAGCATGGATATTTAAAATTATCTTAACTATCACTAATATTATTTTATTTTGAATTATTTAAAAATGTAAGTTACAAATAATAAAATAATGAAGACAGAAAATATTCAATATTGTGTTAGGGATAATTCATATATGTAAGCCAGCATCAACTTGGTACCGTTCATGAAATGCTGCTCGCTTAATTTCTCGTTTTGCGAATGAGCTCCATCGTCAGTTGTACCGATAGGCAGCAGTATTACGTTTGTTGGGGAAGGAATAGCTTGAGATAGGTAAACAACTGCGGGTATCGTTCCCCCTTCCCTTGTGTAATCTGGTTCTAACCCATAGACTCGTTTTACTGCCTTCTCGGCTGCTATAAATACGGGATTATTCTGTGGGTTAGGATTATACCATGCTAGAACTCCTTCGTGAAGAGACTTCAACGTCATTGTATTGGCGTTCTCCTTGCCCAGGGTCCAATCAGCGTGCAACTCTTCTAGATAAGAGCGAACCAATTCTTTTACTCGTTCGGGGTCCTGATCTGGAACTAGTCTAATGCTAAACTTGCTGAGAATTCTATGAGGTATGACAGATTTAACATCCCCTTTTTGGGATATAGAACCCTCTATACCGTGTACAGAAAGGGAAGGCCATCTCCATTTCTTGGCTAGTACCTCGTTTTTGGAAGCTACGAAATAAGCACCCGGAGTTTCGTCGTTAAATTGAATGGAAGAATATGAAGCATTTTCTGGTTCTTCCAAAGGCAACACGTCATCATATATTTCTGGGATCAATATTTTGCCATCCTTATCAACCATGGAAGCTAATAAATAAACGCTTTCTCGTAGTGGTTCGTCGATGGGACCCCCATGGACTCCCGAATGCAAGTCTTGCTTGAAAGGTCCGTTAATTTCTAGCGAGAAATAAACCATACCTCTTAAGCCATAAGTCAGGCACGGCTTATAATTTGTCAAACAATAATTGTCAGTTACGACTAAATAATCTATATCGTTAAAAAATGTTGCCTCATTACTCAATATTTCTCTTAATCCTGGAGAACCAATCTCTTCGCCCGTCTCTAAGAAAATTTTTATGTTTAGCGGTGGGAAACAATCATTTCCTAGCTCTTCTTTTAGCACAGATAAGGCGTTTAACCAAGCTACTACGGGTCCTTTGTCATCTGTAGTGCCTCTGCCCTTCAAAAATCCATTTTTCCTTTCCATTACAAACGGATCTGACTGTTCCCATCCCTCGGATTGTTTAGCAGCCACTACGTCAACATGTGCATAAATCAATAGAGTTTTGGATTTATTAAGTACTTGTTTGTTGATATTTTGCGCTTTAGCCAGATGCCCTAATAAGAAGGGATATTTCAAACTGGTTGAAGAGTTCGATTTGTTAGATAAAGTTGGAGATTTTATTTGCCAAAAAAAACCCAGATTATTTAAAATATCGCCAGTCCACTTTAACATATTAACCAGATCTTCCTGATGTTCAGATTGGGATGATACACTAGGGATAGCTACGGCATGAGCTAGTCGTTCAACAAAAACATCTTTGCGATAATCTATGGCTTTAAAAAGCGTTTCTAAATGAGTTTCTTCTAAATATTTGCAATTTTTAACGTTACCTTTATTTGTAGAATCATGAGAGTAGCTAAGTGTGTTTGAATATAATAAAAGGCATGTCCAAAATACGGTAATCATATCTATTATTTTTTTTATAAGATTAATAAAAAGTAATATAAAAAATAATGGTTTAAAATTGATATGCTACATATTTATATTTAATTAATTTTTTAAGAAAATTATACTACTTGACATTGCCAGGATAATATAATATAAATGATAAGATAAATATAAATATGAGTGAAGAAAATCTATTAAATCCCAAAATTATAATAAAAAAATAATATTAAAAAAAATTAAAAAAATTGAATTTCGATCACGGGAGCTTGACCTTATCTTATATTGGTCGTAAAATCGATATATAAAAAAAAACATAAATATTAAAACAATTAAAATTTTTTTACAGAAATTTATTTATATTAATGATGAAAGAATTTCATCATATTCAATCAATGAATACGCTGCCTTAAAAATATTTTCTTTTTAGTATTTAAATGTTCTAATTATAAAAAAGGCGAATCAAATAAATTAATTGCATTATTCAAAATATATTGCAATTTTTGAAATCGGTTATGAGATATTATTCCTTATTCATACGAATATACTATAAATAGAATAATTCCTTATTCGTATGAACTATTCGATTCGACTTTTCGAAAGTATTAAATTTGCCAATTTATAAATCGAAAATATGGGGTTATAAATGATTATTGTAGAGATTAAAAAAGTTCTAGAAGGGACAGACTGGAATAATTATAAATATTTATGAATAATTTGTTATATAATATTAACATTTCGAAGATGATTGGCTTTCCGTCAGAGGAACTTAAGTCACAATCGCGCTCATTTAGATTTTGGACTATTTTTTGTATGATTTAGATAAAATTATGTAACAATATTAAGGATTATCTAAGATGAAAAATAAAGAATTATAAAGGCAACATTCTTAACAGATAATATATAATAAGAAGTTTGTGTTATAGATATTTAAAGATGATAATTTATGAATTTTATTGTAAACAGAGAAGTTACTTATAAACTTAAAAACCAACTTAATCTAACAGAATTTAATTGAGACTATAAGAAGTTTTAGAATTTAGAATTATTATAAATTATTAAATAATTGATCACTAGAGATAATTGCGACAAATAAAAAGGAATATAAATTTTGGATCAAACAATTTCAAGATGTGTAAAAAACTTTAAGTGAAAATATATGGAGATTGAGATAAAAGACTGAAACGAATATCAATATAGTTAAAAGACACTATAATGTAAAATATTCGGAGATTGAGATCGTAGACAAAAGCAAATATACAATTATTGAGAAATTTTATTTAATAATATTTAATAAAATATTAAGTTGTTGATTAACCAAATACTTCAGAAAGAGAATGGATAAGCAGGGATCAAATTAGATATAAAATTTTTTATCATTAAAATTTGAAGCCAATTACGCTAATCTGATAAAAGCAGAAAGAAATCAAGCAAAAAGATTGAAATACCGAAGAAAAAATGATAAAGGCTATTTTAAATTGTTTTAATGAGGTTTTAGATGTAAGAATATATAAAACTAAGAGAATCAATTACCATAGAGTTTGTAAACAGAATGAAGAAATAATTTATTTTTTTGAATAATGCGGATATTGATATGAAATTTCTAACTAGGAAAAAAAATTGTTTGATATTTAATTAAGATAAGAGAAGTCAGTCACAAGAGTGTAAAATTGAAAGAAAAAAAAGTATGAGAATTTAAAAGGTTCTTAAAAAAGAAGAATTTGAAGGTAAAAAGTGATAAATTAGAAATGTATTTCAGTTGTTTTTTAAAAACATATGTTCGAAGATTATAATGATTATAGAAAGTGTTTTTCAAGAACATGTGCGTGAAAGTTAAAAAGTTGTTTTTTAAAAAAGTGTGCGAGATTTATGAGAATCATAATTTTGTTGTTTCTTAACAACGCGTGAAATTGATGATAAACATAATTTAGATGTTTTTTGTAACAACGTGTGCCTGCAAAGGTCATGATAATCATAATTTAGTTGTTTTTCAACAAGTAAAGTAGAGTGCGCGAAAAAGAAGAATAAAAGAGAAAGGTGAGCGCGTAAAGGTCAAGAGAAGAAATAGGTATTTGATTTTTTCTTTAAAGATTCATTAAGTGGGATGAAATAAATGCGAAATGACACAAAAAGAAAATAAAAAGATATTTTGGTATAAATTTAAAAGTAAGAGAATTTTAGATTCAAGATAATCAAGAGAATTTTCGATTTATAGCATTAGATATGATTGACAAAAGATGATTATCAATATAAAGGCTAATGGAAAGATATGGGTCTAGGTTAAATGAGGTTAAAGGGATGGTAGAATTTGACATAATTATATAATTTATTGGGTATATTTTGACTATGTATGATATTAAGATTTAATTTAAGAAAAAAAAAATATTTCAAAAATTAAGAGAGAATTTAGGGAATTTAATAGATTAATTGAGGCAGAATTAGATTAGATGCGATGATCTTAGACATGAAGACGACTTTATTAGCTTATTAGACCATGTATTTTAAATTTAAGAATGAATATAGGAAAAGGTGATAAAATATTTCAAATGATATGTAGGGTTTAATAAAGTATTAGGTAGAAATTGAGGAAACGACTTAGATATTAGGACTAAGATGAAGTTAGGATACGAACAATAGAATAGATATATCAGCAAAAGAAAACTGTAGTATTATAAGGTATGAAAGTCTAAAGTAGTTATCGGTATAAGAATTCGTGAAAACAATCGTTAATCACTGACCAGTTATCGTCAATCATTTACAGAGATAAAGCTCAAATATTTACAAGAGAAAATTAAATCTGATAAGCTTGATAAATTTCTAAGAATTTCATAATGGTAGTAGTAGAATTAATCTTCAATAAAGTTGTAATAAATTAAAAGGGATCATTAGAAATAAGAACTGAAACTAGGATAATTTATTATAAGAATTTCATGCGGTTAATAGAAACAAAGTTGAAAGAGACTAGAATTATTCGATAATCGTTTATCAATTACAAGTTATAGTTTAGCTGTTATAAAACGCTAATCATTATAGAGATTGTTAGAAAGTACAAACTAGAATAATTTATCAAGAGAATTTCAGGCGTAGAAGAAACAAAGGTAAAAAAGAAAGACTAGAATCAATCGATAATAGTTTACTAACAATTGTGAATCGTTGAAAAGCAAGAGTTAATGGGATACAATTTATTGTCAATCGTTTAAAGAGAGCTAATAGTTTACCAGGGGTTGCCAATCATCGGAAGATAGGAAAAATGTCAAGAATTTCAAGATGTTATTAAAAGAAATAAAATTTGTAAAGGCAATAGAGTTACAAGCAGTCGTTAGTAGTTTAGAATATTAGACAAGGGATAGCTTGTTAGAATTTAGAACATAAAGATTAACTCAAGATGTTATTAACTCATCGAATAAGGAATAAAGAAGATTAGCCTTGGTGGAGTAGATCGTGAAAAGTTGTTGTGATATTTAAATTAATATTTTTCCTTATGCAAATTAGAAGAGTTATTACGATATTACATGTAATGTTTGTTAATTACATATTTTAGACCATATAAATGAGAATATTTCGAAGATGCTAATTTAAAAAAATTTTATTTTTTTTAAGATTTGAGATTTTGATTTTGTACTCGCCACATTTTATTTTTTGGAAATAATTATTTTTTATTTTTCTTTATTATTTTAATTATCATTTTATAATTTTTATTTTGTTTATACCCTTTATTTTATGGATTATAATTATGATTATTAGATGAATAAATTTTATTAAAAAGGATTATATTATTAGGCTGCATTCAAAGTGGAGACGGATCCGTTTTATACATCCGTTCAGTCAAAAGTCAATCTCATTAAAAATGATATATATGTTCTTAATGCGTCCGTTCCGATACCTTCCGTCTTAAAAACGGATCAGGCAAATTTTGAAGTCAAAACATTTTGACTTTTTGATCCGGCAAATTTTATAGAGAGTTATACCGTTACTAATATTTTTTTAAAAATAATTAATATATATCATTTTTAATGAGATTGATTTTGACGGAACGGATGTAAAAAAAGAATCTGTCTCCACTTTGAATGCAGCCTCATTAACTTAATTATTTATATATACATTTTTATTCTTTACAATGTTTACTCCATCGTGCTTTTTACAATAATAATGTATAATAAGAATCGAAAATAACAAATATTTGGAAATGACCAAGGAATCCTAATTCCTGTTCTATCATATGCTGTTTAAAAAAATTCTCCCTTAATTTGCATGGATCCACTTAATTAAAAGAACTTTATGGTTAATTGGGAACAAAAATAATTTGAAAAATAATAATCATTTTGATACAAAGCCACATCCTATTCTATATAAGAGTGATCAGGAATAAAAATAATAAAAATAAAAGTCAGAAATGTTAACATTATTCCTGTAAATTTTTCGGCCCCCAAACCTAGCCCCCAGAAAAAATCTTTGCAAAAATGTAAAAAATAATTAATTATATTTTTACTCATATTATATATAATTCAGATTTAACTTAAATTTCATTATATAAAGATTGGTAAAGGTTTAAGAATATTTCAGAGTGCAATTATTGGTAAAAAAAATATATATATATAAATAAATGCTTATACATCTAGAAAAGATACATCCTTATTTATGCAAAAAAAAACTTTACATACATGAATAGAATATATATATATTCATCATATTACGTTATAAATTAAACTGCTATTTTTGTTTTATATAAAAAATATACAAATCAAATTTTTTATCATTAAAATATGAATTTTTAAAAAATAATTAATAATTTTTATATTATATCGAAAAATGTTATATCTTGCAATTTATATTTATATGCGACTTAAATAAAAAAAAATTCATAAAATAAAATTATTATAAACGTAGATTTATAAAAAAAGGTTACTTTGCAAATGGCTGCCAACTGGGGGTTGAACAGTCTATATTATTAATACAAGTCTATGATTGTAATATAAATACAAGAATTTTTTTAAACGATTGTTTTATAATTAAAGCATAATCCTTTTTATAATTTAACGTATATTTTGGGTAATTGTTAATCTAGTTTAACCCTTCGTTACAGAGGTGAAGAGAAATTCCGAGAGAGACTAGCTGAGGTCCCCTCACCCAATTTATAAACTCCCTAACTATATATTAAATTTCCAATGTACCAGCAAAAGAAACTGCTTGATACATCCGTTCCCCTGTGATAGTTTCGAGTATTTTCGTCAATTTTGGTCAAAATAAGGACATCATTATTATTCAAATTTTTATGGAAGTATATAATTTCAAGTAATATATGTAAAAAATAATCTTAATTTACAACTATTGAATGAACCAATCAGAAAAATGGACGAATTACAAATGACTTTACGGTTAGTTAGGCAAATCATTCCCCTTGGTGTATCATCTTAATAGTATCTTTGATTTATCACGGCAACGATTATCCTCCGTCCCGTCCTCAAAATGAATATGATTTAGTTTCTAACTTTTCAACATACTTAATTTATATTGATATTATGGTATCATCGAGTCAATGATATTTTGGCCGATGGTGTTTGTTAAAACATTGTGTTCTTTGGGAAGAACATCTATATCGCCCTTTAGTTTTAAAAGATCCAAAAAGCAAAAAATCTTCGACGGAGTTAATCCATCAGTATTACATTAATTATTAAAGTAAAGATGTGCAACCAATATAAAAATTTAAATTCATAATAATTAAATGTTAACGAAATTGTGGTGTCTTATAGAATTAACAAATCTTTTTTTATTATTATTTAATTTTTATATAAACTATTTAAATTTGTTCTTATCTTACAGGTTGAAATAAAAAATCAAGATTTAAAAAAGATTATAAATTTATTCTATTAGAGATACTATCAATCATATATAAAATATAATTTTTATGCTTGTAAATTACTATAATAGTTATCCTCACTTAAATAAAGAAACAATTGAAAGAGAAAAAAAATTAGTATCAGTTGATATAAGATTGAACGTAGATTTGGCTTAGTATTAGTTTTAGTGTATAATTTTATTTTATTAAAGAATTTTTAAAATAAATTAATTTTTATTTATTTAGCAAAATTAGTCCATAACATCTTAAAATTCAATCTAAAAACATTCGAAACTTAATCAAAATTTGTTCCGATCTACCTATAAAAAATTATCAAAAAATCACAAGAGATTATTTATTAATAAAATCCAAATAGATTTCAATCAATTGAAAGATATTTATTATATTATATTTTAATTTATAAATTTAAATAATAAATTAATATTAATAAAAAATTTAAAAACAAAAAATATTAAAAAAATATATATGAGGTAACTTGGCATGGTGGTACACGAATTCTAGATTATTTTTATTATTATATTCTTTTTATTAAAATAGCAAATAAATAAATTTTGGCTCAAATCAAGAGTCGACTTTTACGACTAAAAACTCGACTCGAGTCACTGTTAAGCCGATCATAAGCCTTTTTTTAAAATAAAATTAACGAGCCAAAACATATTTTTATGTACATTTCAAAACATTAACTAGAATTTTCTAAAAGTTCAAATTTGTGATACAAGTTATGGCCATAGATTTAATTATCAATTACATTAATGGTTGATGTAACTATTATATATCGAGATGAATTTTATATACTATCACTAATATTATTTTATTTTGAAATATTTAAAAATCTAAGTTGCAAGGTATAAAATAATGAGGACATAAGAAAATATTTAATATTGTGTGAGGGATAATTCATATATGTATGCCAGCATCAACTTGGTACCGTTCATAAAATGTTGCTCGCTTATTTTTTCGTTTTGCGAATGAGCCCCATCGTCAGCTGTGCCGATGGGCAGCAGTATTACATTTGTTGGAGAAGGAACAGCTTGAGATAGGTAAACAACTGCGGGTATCGTTCCCCCTTCCCTTGTGTAATCTGGTTTTAACCCGTAAACTCTTTTTACTGCCTTCTCGGCTATTATAAAAACGGGATTATTCTGTGGGTTAGGATTATACCATGCTTGAATTCCTTCGTGAAGAGATTCCAACGTCATTGTATTGGTATCCTCTTTGCCCATAGTCCAATTAGCGTGCAACTCTTCTAGATAAGTGCGAACCAGTGCTTTTACTCGTTCGGGGTCCTGATCTGGAACTAGTCTAATACTAAACTTACTAAGAATTCTATGAGGTATGACGGTTTTGACATCACCCTTTTGAGATACGGAACCCTCTACACCGTGTATAGAAAGGGAGGGCCACCTCCATTTCTTGGCTAGCACCTCGTTTTTAGAAGCTACGTAATAAGCACCCGGATTCTTATCATTAAATTGAATAGAAGAATATGAAGCGTTTTCTGGTTCTTCCAAAGGCAACACGTCATCATATATTTCTGGGATCAATATTTTGCCATCCTTATCAACCAAGGAAGCTAATAAATAAACGCTTTCCTGTAGTGGTTCGTCGACCGGACCTCCATAGATTCCTGAATGCAAGTCTTGATTGAAAGGTCCTTTAATTTCGAGCGAAAAATAGACCATACCCCTCAAGCCATAAGTCAGGCATGGCTTATGATTTGTCAACCAAGAATTATCGGTCACGACTAAATAATCTATATCGTTAAAAAAAGTTGCCTCATTACTCAATATTTTTCTCAATCCAGGAGAACCAATCTCTTCGCCCGTCTCTAAGAAAATTTTTATGTTTAGCGGTGGGAAACAATCATTTCCTAGCTCTTCTTTTAGAACAGATAATGCATTTAACCAAGCGACTACGGGTCCTTTGTCATCTGTAGTGCCTCTGCCCTTCAAAAATCCATTTTTCCTTTCCAATACAAACGGATCTGACTGTTCCCATCCATCGGAGTATTTAGCAGCCACTACGTCAACATGACCATAAATCAAAAGTGTTTTGGATTTATTAAGCGTTTGCTCGCGAATTTTTTGCGCTATAGGCAAATGCCCGAATAAGAAGGGATATTTTAAACTACTTCTATATTTCGAATTGTTAGATAAAGTTGGGATTTTTATTTGCCAGGAAAACCCTAGATTTTTTAAAATATCACCAGCCCACTCCAACATATAAAGCAGGTCTCCTTGGCTCTCCGATTGGGATGATACACTAGGAATATCTACGGCCTGAGCTAGTCGTTCAATAAAAAAATCTTTGCGATAATCTATGGCTTTGAAAAAGTTTTCTAAATGAGTTTCGTCCAAATATTTGCAATTTTTAGCGCTATCTTTATCTATGGGTTCATGAGAAGAATAACTAAGCTTAGTCAAAAATAATAAAAGCCATATCCAAAATGTGATAATCATATCTAATTTTATTAGGTTGATTTAAAAAAAGAATATCATATATTTAAATTAAATTTATTTTTTAAGAAAATTTTTATAAAATTAAAAATATTCATCTCTTTAAAAATTTTTACTAAATTTAACCTTTTAGAGTTCTGATTTTTTTTCTTCAAATTATAAATCAAATGTTAAAAACAAGATATATTAAATGGTTAAAAAAATTATAGGTTCAATTAACAAATTAAATATTTTATATAGTAAATAGTTCACACTATTAAATAATTGGTGCGCCTTTAGCAGTTTTAATAACAGACTGAATATATCAAATATTAAACAAATGATGCAAGAAAAATTATAGAAATATATAGGGCTGGCACGTCGGTCAAATACTCTAAAACATCTAATGAAAAGAAATTAAAGATATGTTTGAAAAAATATATAAAACAATCAATATACATGTCTCACAATGGTGCTTATTTATTGGATCTCGAATATCAAGAGGAGCATCTTATTGTGAATTTGATGAGGGGTATGTGATATAATCAATGACATATATAATGCCTAGACTGACGATTCATTCATTAAAATGCATTTTTAAGCGTCGTTAAAAGCAAATCAGCTGGACCTGCCATTTTGGTAACACATATAGTAATTATTCTCATGTTATAAACTACTATTAAATTGATAAGTTGCTTACTTATTATCTCAATGATCCGGTAATTCTTTAATAAAGTTTGCATCAGATATAGGAATAAATTAGGCTCTCGTCTAAAATTTTAATAATGATTAGTGTAACCAAGATGGCGTCTCCTGCTGATTTGCATTGATGTACAATTTTAATGAATGAATCGTCAGTCTAGGTATTATATATGTCATTGGATATAATACAAAAAATAGACATTTTATAAGGACGATAATCAAAATATTTTAAGCGATACCATAAATTAAAAAAGCGGCATATTTAATAGTAAATTATGCGGGAAGCAGTAACTGCCAAAAGAAGCAATCAGATTTCAGTTTTTTTCTATTAGGAAAAGTGATTAATATCTTAACAATTCCTAGTACTACTTTTTCTACAGAAATAAATTGATCGGGTTGAAATTCATACAAAAAACAGAAGTCGACTGAAAACCTCGACAACAGAAAAATTGGTAAGTGTCTTTCATTACATAAGATTGATTATTGATTAAAAAATATTAAAGAAAATGATAATATTGTACAAGAATAAGAACAGGTTTAACCATGGAGAGCGAAACATTTTTTTACATAGATTCATTTTACCTCTATGAAAATATCAAGTTAACCCTTTATAGCATAGGTTAAAAAAAATGACACGAAAGTATAGGTGGGGTTACCTCGGGTTTCCAAATTAGATATGCTATATCCTAGAATTAAATTTATTTATAGCTTTCATATTTTAAATATATATTAAAAATAATTATTACGAAAACTAAATCACATAAACGTTTTATTATCATTTTTTTGGCTTATATTCTGAATTAAAAAGCATAAAAAAATAATTAAATTTTTTTAAAAATACTCCATAATTGAGAAGAATGGGAGATTATATTAATATAACTAGCAGAGAATACGTCAAGAATGGTGAGAAATAAGAAATTTTCCCTTTATTTGATGATAGATGAATCAGAAATTGGCCTCTCTTATGAGGTGTTAATCAGAAATTTACGTTCATTTTGATAGTTGATTTAAAAATTTGTTGTCTTTATTTATTCTCCCGTCTTTAGATTTTAATCAAAGGGTAATAATATTCTGCATAATGTGGGTAGTCAAATGAGTTTACGTAACCGTCACCATCGATCTTAAACAAAATTATACTTCTTCTATCCTTACCCTTTACTTCTCCTTAATTAATCTACTATTTCTCATCTTCCTTTTCTCCCCTAAAACCCGGTCTCTATAACTAAATACTAAATTTCCGACGTACCAGCAAAAGAAACTGCTCGATACATTAGCCGTTACCACGGTAGAGTCTCCTTTTATCGCATTTTCGTAACTTCGGTCAAAATAGCGACGTCGTTATAAATACGAATTTTTATGGAAGATATATTAGATAATTTCAAGTAATATTTTAACCATATGTAAGATATGATCTTAATTTACAATAATTAAATGGACTGATCAGAAAAGTGGACGAATTGATGATCAACTAACTTTACGATTAGTTAGGCAAATCGTTCCTCTTGGTGTATTATCTTAATAGTATCTTTGTTTGATCACGATGACGGATACCCTCCGTCCCTCTCCAAACAAGATACGATTTAATTTATTTCCTAACTTTTCAACTATTATTATACAAAATGTAAATTTGAAATAAAGTTTAACCAGTGAATTTATTTTACAATTCGAATCTGTAATATTCTTCAAAAAAATAAGCCTAGCTTTTGTCTAGAATATTCTCAAACATTATATAAATTGAATAAAAAATTTTTTAATTATATATTAATTGCAGTGCACATATAAATAAAAAAAAATTAAGTTATTATAAACTTATCAAATATAAAATATCATAAAAGAAATTTATTAAATACTACAATTATAACGTTAATTTAAATTTTATTTGGGAGTTTGATAATCATTAAGGATTTTAATGATTGAAACCAGAGGTTAATTAATTTAATAAGATTAGGATGCGTTATTTCTTAAATGGGTTTTATTAGGAATCAACTCTTTTTTTATAAACAGGGTTCAGATTGGGATTTGGGTTCAGTTCCAGAAGAATAAGGACTAGGACTTATAAAATTTAGTTTAAATAACAGACATATTTTTTAAAAAAAATGAATATTATCATATTTAGAATTCATAATAAAATTATTTTTGATTATAATTAATTATATAATACAATTTAAAAAATATTATATTTTGTATTTTACAGTAAAATATCAGGGTTCCAAGGGTGCTAGTTCAGATTTTGAGTTAACAGCCCTGTTTTCAACCATCTTATATAAGAAAAAGTTCTCTCATTCGTACAAACATGCAAGTATATAAAACAATTTCAAAACAAAAAATATTTGGAAATTGTTCCAAAATTTCTTTAAACATATTGAGTGCATCAATAGCGTGCTTGCTTAGGCAAAATTTTTATATACATTAAATATTTTAACACAATTAAAATTTGCTAATTAAATAGAACTCACTATTAATATAAGAAGAATAAAATATAGCTAAATATTTAATTTTATCTTTAGTGGCAACAGAGAGTATGGGAGGCAGTGTTGTTTAAAGGCCAATTCGGGTCGAATAACCAAAACAATATTGCACATAGCTGGCAGAAATGCTTACATCTATTTTCCAAAACTCGATTCTTACATAATATTATTTTCGACCCAAATCGGGCTTTTTAACACTAATGGAAGGCTCTTGGGTAAAATTCGAAGATTATTTAAAACATCTTTTTTATTAATCTAAAAAGCGTATACTTTTATTTTGGCTAAAAAGGAGTCCAAAAAATGGTTGAAGATAGATATTTTGTAATATTCTTCTCAGGATCGACTCGGAGTTAATAGGAATAAACCGCTAAATCTTTATAAATATCTGAACCATAACCGTAACTGAATAAATATAATTATTTTTTGAAGGAGTAAAAAAGAACCTTTATAAATAAGGTTAAGCCGGTTTCAATTAATTAGTTTTTATTTTATTAAATATTTCTCTATTTTTTATTTTCTAATTTTTTTTGTTAGATATTGATAAGTAATAAAAGAGAAGGGATTTTTTTTTATCGCTGAGAGTTTTTGATATCACAAGGTAAATTTTAATTTTATTTATTTTTTAAAAAATTATTATCTAAAATTTAAAAAAAAAAGGCTAGGGGGGTAATTTAGTTCAAAATGATATTTATAAATATGCAAAATTTTGCCTCGGTTATACGCCTGAATATGTGTATAGAAAGTTCAAATTTATTTTAAAAATATTCATATTTATGAAATTAAATTAACAGTTAATACTTAAATGTATATAAACTAGAGATTTGCAAATCAAATTCGTGTCGGCTGGGTTTATATTTTTAAATATAATATTCAATTTTGTGAAATAAATTGATATATATTTTTTTAAATAAATTAAGAAATAGCGCGCTAAATGTTTTTATTTGTAAAATATTACTTTGAATTAAAAATATTGAATTTTTTAAAATTTGTTCAGGATCAGGTTGGGCAAATATTTTCTAAAAATATTAGGGCCGGGCGGGACTTTATGTTAGGCCAGATACAAATGGATAATATAAGCTGTAAGATTTAATTAATTTTTTACTTTCATAGTTTATATTGTAACAACTTTTAAATTGAAATAAATCTATAAAAACGTATTGTGGCATGTATACTTTGATATTATAAAATATGTTAGTTTATTACATTATAATTATAAAAAAAAATCAGAAAAGGCAATTTCCAGCTCAATTTTTTAAATATATTTTTTAAACAAATGATTATATTTGATTAAATTAATTTTTAAAAATATAAACGAGTTGATTTTAAATAGTGGCAAGTTTACATTGCCAAAAAAACTAATTTAATCAAATATAATCATTTGTTTAAACATCGTTTATATTTTGTTAGTTAACGATTAAATGGCGTATGGAAGAGACTGGGAGAAATTTTTTTAAAAAACTATTTTATTATGCAAAAAAATTAATTCGACAAATTATTGTCCTTTTGGAAAGAAATCAAAAAGTCAGCTGAAAACTTGCTTAGAAAATGGCTTTTAAAAAAAGTTCTGACTGGAAATGACCCAGAAGTTTCGTTTACAATTAAATTCACCTTTATATTATATTAATAGAGATTTTATGACTCATTTAGGTGCGTCAACTTTAATTTAATCAAATATGAATAGTATAATAATTGATTAAATTTTAATAAAACATAATATATAATATACAGTCAAACCTGTCTAACTTAAGCACAGGTGGAACCAAGATTTTTGCTCAACTGGGGCAATTGCCTAATTTATCAAGACTTTTTAATTTAACAAAAAAACAACATCTGTCATATTCTTAGTTTGGCAAAAAATTGAGATTATGATCAACATTTCCAAATAATTTATTTTATTTTAATTATGTCATCAAGATCATGAATAAAATTATGTATGTAATTAATGTATATTTAGCGTCAATGTGTTATTTTTTTCAACTATAAATCATTTTTTGAGTGCGTTTTTTTAAATTTAAGAATCGGATGTATTTCAGCATGTTTAGAATACCTATCTTATGAATTGTAGATAATTTTGCCGGTAACCTTTTAGTCATTTACAATTTATATAAAAAATCTATGGAAGAACTAATATAAATTATATTAAGTTTAAAAATTCATAGCGAATTTGTCTGAGATTTATAGATATTCTAAACATGATAGAATAAATTTCCGGTAAAATCAAATTCTTAAATTTAAAAAAACGTGCTCAAAAAATAATTTAAAGTTGAAAAAATAACACATTGGCCGGAAAAAACACATTGACTTTGTGGTAACATCATAAACTTATACAAAATAAGAATGTACAAAATTATTATAAATTGTATACAAATTTTCAATATTTTTTTCTTAGTTATTTTTTATGTTTTTCTTCATACTAGAGGACGAATATTTTATGAACTTGAGTTCACGACTTGAGTTCACAACTTGGGTCGACTTGAGTTCACGACTCGAGTCGACTTGAGCTCACGACTCGAGTCGACTTAAGTTCACGACTCGAGTTCACGACTTGAGTTTGAGTTAGTCGACATATTCGACTAACGACTCGAGACTCTGAGTCGGATGAACTCGACTTTTTAACAACACTAATTATATACATATATTTTTTTTATATTATATCCTTATTTGTTTTTTAATATATATATTTTTAATTTTAATAATGTGTAAGTATATATAAATGTTCAATTTATAATTTTTGTAAAAAGTTTTTAATATCAATAAATATTTATTCATATTATAAATAAAAAATTTATGAAATAAAATAAAATGTGATCTTGGTACAATATGTTTTATTTGTATGGCGTTTGATGTTTTCTTTGGATTTAAGAATATTGTGAACAGTTCCTTTTAGAAATATTAAATCATTTAGCAAATACCTTTTGCCTATGATGGTTTGGAAATTTAATAACTTAAATTTTTTGTTTGGAAATTTAATAACTTAAATTTTTTTTAATTAACGATAACTCGTTATAGTTGTTTTCTTTATTAATTTTATTATTTTACATGAATAGTATTAAAAAGATGATAAAATTTTATAATGTAAATGAATGATAACAACAAAAAAATAATAATTAATGCCTATTTTATAAAGGCCTTACGTAAATGAACAAAATATAAAAATTTGCCCACTTTTTAAAGTAGACATTTTTACAATTTATCAAGGTATTTCCTATTAGAAAATTTTGGTCAAATTAAGGGAGTTTTCCAAATTATCAAGCGCCAAAATTGGCAGGCTTGATTGTATTTAATATTTAAAAAGAAAATTTTTTTGTCTCTCTAAAATTTAAAATTTTCTTACCAAATTTAATCTTTGGATTCCTGAATATATTTTTCGAATTATATAAAAAAAAATGTTACAATATTTCGATTATTAAATGTTTTATTTTAAAAACTAAAATATTTAATATGATAAATAGTCCATATCATTAAATAATTGATTATCATTGTTTTTTTTAAAAAATATTATTTATTTTTTGTATGATGGCAATTTTTCTGATAAATTTATAGGTGGCTTGCGGATGATAAGATAGTACATTATCGAAAAAATTTATATTTTTGCAGTTAATTGCCTCGATTCACCTGTTTCGTTTACATCGATAATTATAATTAACGGCTGACATAACATCAATCTTCTCTTGCAATAATCAAATTAGTACTCTACGCATGCGTTACTACGGCACAATCCATAAATCATAAAAAGCCCGAAAAATAGTAATTCGATCTGAATCTATGATTCTTTTTCAAGCGGGTAGGATTCGGATATATGCAAGCATAAATTAGCATATATACCTTTATTTTATTATATATATAAGTTTTAAAATATAATTTTAACTTTTTTAAATTGAAATTCGATGGATTTGAAAAATAAAGTGAATTCAATTTTTTTTTCTTTCTTTCTTAAAAATTATAATAAACGCATTATTTTTATTTTTTTACCGTTGAAACCGTTTAAATGGCAAACGTTGGGGAAAATAATTAATTTTTTTCGTATTTGACCAGTATTTTGCATTTATGCGATTTTAAAATTTACTCATGATTTATATAAATTTTTTTTAAAGTTTAACTTGTAATATCATTGGAGTGCGCAGCAGGGGTGGGGCAGGGAGACAAATCCCCCCCCCCCCCCAAGCCAAAAAATGCAGATGCCGGATAAATTTTTCAAAAATATTATTGTTTATATTAAGTTGTATTTTATAATATTTAATCCATTCTCTTTCATTTTAAGTATATATTTAATTACATTTATTTATCACATTCATTTATTAAGTTATTTTATCAATTAATTTCGATTTCAAGTTTTTCTTGGCGTAATATTTGTCTATTTTCTAGTCAAATAATAGTTATGGACATAAGAAATTTTGATGATGATGAAAATCCTAGTCATCTTACAAAAAAGAAAAAGTACAAATAATTTTATAATATTTCATTTCATAATTAGCATAGAAGTAAGACATAAGCTTCTTAAAAAGGTAATAAAGATACCTAAGATTAATATTTTATTTAATAATAGATTTATATTCCACCCCTCAAATTTCACACAACCTTTATGTGCTAATTAAAAGTTAAAATTTCAAAACAGCTATTTTACTAGATGGTTGTGGCTAGAATTCTCTATCCGAGACAATGGAGCTTATTGCAAGTTATGAGTCCTGTTAGTTAAGTCAACAAGTACAAAGATGCTGGATAAATCTTTGACAATAAAACAAATTTATCATAAAGGCAGTGAACCCATTATTTCTTCAAATTAATTGTGGGGATATGATTCCCATTTTATCACATATTGACAAAAATAGGATTAAAATAGCAAAAGAAAATAGAAATCAAGCTAACTATTGAGGCTATACTATATTGTGGATTGCAGGGCCCAGAATTACATGGTCATTTGGATTCAGGAAGCTTGAATTTCAATAATAATTATAATGAAGGTAATTTTCGTGGTCTTGTAAAATTTCAAGCATTAGGAGATTCTGTAAACAGAATTATTTCTGAAACTCCTTGTCCAACAAGGAGAAAGACATTGCAAAAAGCTTGTCCAACGAGATGGAGTCTTTGGCATCAAAACAGCTTTTATAGAGTTAGAAGAGTTGATTATTATGCTCTTACTGTAAAATCACACCTGAAGGAGATATATCCTCAGAAGCAAGCATATCATTGGTTTCAATACTTACTTTTTTTTTCTCATTAGAATATATATTATACAACTATTTTATGTATTTTTAAAAACATAACATTGACTTGATTGAAACGACGAGAATAGAGGAGAGCATTTTATTAGAACTCAGGGAAATTAGGGCTAATGTTGTTGAAAAATTTCATATTTTATATGTTATTTTAGTCAAAAGCAGAGCTATATGAGATAAACATTTGCTCCCTCGACTTGCAGCGAGGCAAGCTCATCGTCCTACATTAATATAGGGTCAGTAGAAGAGTATTATAAAATAAATGTCTTTATCCCTCTCTTAGATACATTTATAACCCAAATAGAACGGGTTTTAATTCATCAGGCAGCACTTAGCAGTCTTTTTCAGATGGTAATAGAAAAAAAAATATTTATCAGATTATTTTTCATGAAGATGTTAAAGTACCTTATGATGCCTTATTAGCTGAATGCCAACTATAGTATATAAAATATTAACTATGGTTGATATAGTCCCAAAAAATGCTATGGATGCTTTGCATCATTTTAAACATATTTAAGATTATTTTCCCAATGTATAATAAATTATATATATTAGCAACACTTCACATTAGTACTGCAACTAATGAGAGAACATTCCCTTCTTTAAGAAGAATAAAAACATACCTAAGGAGTACAACTTCTGATAATATATTGAATGGTTTGGCCCTTTTGAATATTCATAGGCATTTGACGCTAAGCACATGAGATAATTGAACAATAAACCCAATCTCAATGAAAATTGGATTTTACATATAAATTTATAATATGCTTCTTAATTATTTTATGTGCGAATTAATATTATAATTATATTTTTTTATGAATATTACATACAAAATATTTTTATTCCTAAGAAACTTGTGTAATAATTTATATTTCCAACATTTAAATTTTTATACTTTATATATAAATTTCAAAGGCTCAAATTTAAATTTCTATTTTGGGTCATTTATTTTATAGTGATTTCTGATTTATAAGCTTGTTATATTTACTTAACATTTTATAATTCACATTTATATTATAGTTTTTCATATGCCGCTGGTTATATCCGTTTAAAATTTTTTTAATCATTTAATTTACAGTTTTCTATATGCCGGTTTATATATTTATTTTTAATTCTGTATTAGAAATAGTTATTAGTCCTAAAAAAATTTATGCTTGATATTTTTAAATAACAATGATTTTATTTTAAAAAATTTTAACCCCCCTCCCCCCCCCCCCCCCAACACCAAATTTCTGCGTACGCGCATGTGTAATATATATTCATATATACATAATTTTCACCTTTTAAGAAAAACTCTTGTACTTTATTTTCATTATTCTCATTTTTTTTCTTTCTTTTTTAATTTAAAAATGTATAATTAGGAAGTTTGATTATATTAAATCTATCAATTAGAAATTAGCCGATATTATTTAACATTATACGAATATAATAGGGACATCTTAGCATTTATCTGATATCTCACACTTGCCCAGTGACCCCTACAACGGAGAGGGTCCGAAGCAACTGCTTCTAAAAATTTGAGGGGGGGGGGGATTTTTTTAAAATTTTTTAATTTAAAATTTTGAGTGGGGGTATTTTTTTATTTTTTATTTAAAATTTTTTATTTTAATATTTAATAAATAAATATATTAAAATAACAATTTAAAAAAAAAATATATATTCCCTATACTTTTCTGCTTAGCCATCCATAATATGATGAAAGATCTCAAATCTGATTTTGATCTAGACCTTAATTTATGGTACCTAGACGATGGCACTCTCTGCGGTAACCAACACCAAATAAGCAAAGCCCTCTTCCACCTCGAAAGAGAATGCCCCAAAATAGGCCTAAAATTAAACAAAACCAAAACAGAAATCTGCATACTCAACCCCGAGATTCCCCTAGACTCATTTAAAGATTACAATATTATCGAAATCGAAGATATCCAACTCTTGGGCTCCCCACTACTAAATAATAAAATCTCGGAAAAAACTATCGATAAAACCTTCTTCGAGTTGCAAAACTTGGAAAAGTTCATCAATCATATCCCATCGCACCAACTTTTTTATCTATTAAAAAAGTGCCTATATTTACCTAAAATCTCACACCTCTTCCACTCATCCTCCTCATTCACCTCCTCAGAATTTTTCATCAAGCATAATATTCGCTTAAAGACCTTAATTGAAAGGATCCTTAACCTTCCGTTATCAGACTTTAATTAGCACCTTGCTCAATTACCCGCTAAACTAGGCGGTATCGACCTGATCCCCTTCGAATTACTCTCCCTATCTCTTTTTATCTCTAATCGCCTTTCGCTCAATTCCGCGATCTCATCTTTTATAACCCCCAATGACGATCTCTTAACAGTAGCAATCGAAAAATGGAATCTACTAACCCCAGACGGTCAAACATTCCCAACCGAAATTTCTAATAAATCAATCTTGGAACCCCTTATAAAGAAACTTCAAAATAGTCTTAACCCCTCCGATATCAGCGATATTCAACTTCTTCAATTAAACGATAAATATGGCGGATATGAATGGCTCGAGGCTCTTCCAAGCCTAACCCATGATAATCTCTTAACCAATGACCAACTGAGAGTTACCATAGGATTTAGACTAGGATGCTCGCTAACACATTCACACACTTGCCACCTTTGCAACCTACCCGTACAACCAAATGCAAGACACGGCCTAAACTGCTCCCGTAGCCAAGGTCGCCACCTTCGGCATAAAGCAATAAATAAAATCATCCATAATGCTCTCAATAAAGCTAAAATTCCTAACATTCTATAACTAACAAACCTCTCTCTACAAGATGGTCTCAGACCTGACGGTGTAACCTGCATCCCATGGTCCAATGGGAAATCCCTAATTTGGGACGCTACCTGTGTCTCTTCCTTTCCCTCATCAATTAATTCAAATCCTCTTACTAATGGCGAAAATAAAAAAATCAATAAATACTCAATATTAAATAATTTTATTTTTCAACCCCTAGTCATCTCAACTAATGGCAATTTCTCCCAATCAACATATTCATTTTTTAGAATTACGCGAGTCAATCTTCCTAAAACAAAAAATACAATTATAAATTTTTAAACATAATTATACATGTTTTTTAGGTACATTTTTACTATAAGCTCTTTTTAGAGCCATCGATATTCCCATAATTTATATTTTAAAAATAAATTATTTATAAATTTAATTTTTT